GTTGGGCGGGGTGGGGCGTGGGCCCCCCTCGGGGTGCGTCCTGGGGCGGTCGGACCCTCCTCTCCTCTCGCGTGGGTGACGTCGTGAGAAACGAATTAAACCTTGGCGCGCCGAAAACAACTGACAGCCCGACGTGACGAGCCACCTCCGGGCAGGATGCTCCGGGCCGGCAGAGGAGGCCCCTCCGGCCGCAGCAGCCTCCAGGTTCCGGACTCCGGGTCATCGAGCATTTTCTTACAAATACATATTCTTCGAGAACCGTTCGTCATTAGTATATTTGCTCTACATGATTTCAGAAGTAGAATACGGCTCTCTGAAGTATCAAAATGGTTTTACTCTATATTTCAAGAGGAAAGATGGCTAACAAACGGCAAATTCGACAAATAAACCATACCCTTACGCATTTTGATGTACATGTGTGCAGTTCGTACATATTTATGCATAAAATTGTACATACTTATGCCTATGGCTGCTCAAAATTCGGACAGTAAAATGCGGTAAAATGTTTATGGGTTTACAGTGTCATTTCTCGTTTCCATCCTAGTCTGCATGGACGGTCCCCAGGCAGCTTCGCGCCGCCGCGTCGTCTCAGGCCACACCCTCACGGATGAAGTGTTTTACTTAGCGCAGCCAGACGAGTGATCCACATTTCTCATCGAGCGTGTCAGAACGCCGGTGTGGTATATATTCGGCGGCCGCGGCGGCGGGCCTTAGGCGGGTCTGGGGAGGAAGCTGGCGTGAGATGTTCGACGCCCCGCTGGAATGTAGATTGGTAAGGAAAAGTCCAATTACTCTTCGCGAGGAACACGTGTCATAAAGAAGGGCCTAACCGACGAAAAAAGTGTGGCAACGAGTCAGCGACGGATTGCCCGCACGAATGCCAACAACAATTAGATGGATGCAGTGCTTGGGTGACTGAAATATACTCTATAGCTGACACTCCTCAATGGCCCTTCCTGTCTTCTTCTTCTTCTTCTTCTTCTTCTTCTTCTTCTTCTTCTTCTTCTTCTTCTTCTTCTTCTTAATTTTCTTCAGCCCCACGCCCACGCGCTAAGGGCCGGCTGCAGTTGTCTGAACCAACCACACACATGTGGCCCCCCGGACCACACAATCACTCGCCGTGTCTGGACTCCCACATACTCTCACCTGGACCCCTGGACACAGGACACACGCATTCAGACTCGAACCCACTGTGTTGTGCATTAACATGCAGTATTTTGCACTAAAATCGTACATGACTATCTGCACAAATTTGTGCACATAGTTGTGCATATACTTAGGCACCAAAAGTGTGCACATAACTATGCAAGTCTGCTTTACAGTATACACAACAACAGTATGCAAAATGGTTTAGAGTGGAAGAATGGCACGCCACGGATGCCGTAAAAACTAACCAGGAAAGTCTACAAGTCGTAAAACAGTGGTTCAATTTTCTTTGCTGATTTAACGCGTCCGCACTCCTGTAGTTAGACTTTACCGTATATG